TCTTCGCATGTGTTAAAAATTGAAGCGCTATACCTTTATAGACAAATATTGTCTATTTGGTGCATTTTCCAGAACAGTTTTAATGTTATCAAAAGAAATAGACTTTCGAGGCCATTCCTTGAAATTAATGGGTTTTAATGTTATTTGTAGACAAAATCTTGGAGTTTGACGCTTTTAATACCATCAGACTTTTTTTTTCAGTAGGTTTCTAGTAATTTGGTACAAGTTTTCGTGTTTATATTGTGATTAATGTTGTTGTTCGAAACGCAGAATTAAACTATCACATCGGAGAAGGTTTTTCATGTTACATGCTAATTATTATTAAGTACCTAAGTACTAATTAAAGTAAGTTAGCAATACATTCTCCAAAAAAAGAACTTCAAATGAGCAACTTCTTATTTTTGACGCAGTAGTTCGTACTGGTTTTCTGCTATTTGTATAATATTTCGGGGTGTTAAGGTTTCGTTTAACATTTTATAATAGAGGCATTTAGCAACAGTTGATGTTCAATTTACTAATTTAACAATATGATTTGACGAATAATTAGATGCCGGTTAGACAGAAATTAACCGTAACAGAACTGTGCGTTTGATTTATAATGCGTAAAATGTAACTTACTTAGATTATAGGCAGCGTGTCTTGTCCTACTGACTACTGTAAGTAGTGGTGGTAGGTAAAATATATTAAAAAATTGCTTCCCTTCTTTAAAATTTTACCGCACGCCACTCGATATAAACAATATGAAAGAATACAACACTGGGAACGAGAACAACGATGGAGGATAAAATTATGCATTTGAGCAGCTTTAATAATAATTTAGTCATCGCGTTTTTATTTTTATGAAAAATCTATTCTACTAATACGTCATAAATTCCAAGTCCGTTCATAATTTTTTTTTTTTTGACCCGTTGATAATTCAGGAAAAATTAAAATAACACTTTCTATTCGGAATTCATATAGGGGGTTTTTTGGATACGTCGGTGGGCATCCGGTATACAAATAGGGCGGCATAAAGCATATCACTACAATATTTTATTTTTTATATTTTGTATTAAATATCCCTTCTGCCAGTCTTCAGTAAAACACTAAAATAAGATCTTATTCTTAAGTCTAACTCTCTTTATATCAGTTAAAGCCTATTTAACTTTTCAATCCTTCTCTCCCGCCTTTAAATTGAATTGATTCTCTTCTCTTTGATATCAGCAAAATTGAATTTGTTGTCTCTTTCGTCGGCCGACGAAATAATACTTTGCGATAAAACTTATTGTTTACATCTCTCTTCGACATGAATATCCGGCCATATAACTTCTCCGTCTCCGGAAATTTGAAAACTTCGATTTTTTGCTTAATCGATTCATTCAATTTTCCCATTACTAGCCCAGCTGTGTCACTGGTGAAAGATGGAATGGAATTTGCGAGTTCAACTACCGATGGGGGCGCTGCGAAACGTAAACATTACTCGTCTTTATATATGAACATTACTGGCCATTGTTAACTGCAAAAATCACGAATACATTGGTAGCACCCTTCCTGACATGCCATGTCTACCTTTGTTTGTCGGTCTCATCACATAAAACAATACTTACACACTTTTCAATATGTTTCTATTTGTTTAAAGGCTCGCACAAGCTGAGTAGAACTAAACCAAACAAATCACAACGACATCTAATCAAAATAAGTGTCAAATTTTACTAGTTAAAGTGTAATTACAATTTAGCTGCCAGTGAGCTTTTCGCGAATAATTTGAATCCAGAAGGAGTTCAATATAAATAAAGCCATAATTACGGTAAAAGGTTGCATACAGGCTCTCAGAATAACACGTAAAACTATCCATGTTCTAAAACTCCCCCTATTAACTTCCAACGCGAAGTTAGCTTTGAATAACACCTGTAATCTGTACTACGCAGGGACAAAAGTATTGCACCTGCGCATGGACCACTTGCGGAACTGTTATTGGCTTGATTGGCTGGACGGCCGGTCAGTTTAGTGGTGAACGACTTTAGATCGGTAGTGTGTTGTCAAAATTCGGATAGTTTTCTAGTATTTCTGTTTGAAGAAGTACTTTTAGATGTTCTGTCGCGTTTCGGTAGTAAAGTTATCACCTATATCCGCGTTGTGAAAGGTAAGGGTGCTCAATTAATTCCTAACTTAACTGCAAAACTCTACATTAACGCAAACAAAACGATACCGCTTCACACGACCTTGACGAATGATGTGTTGATTTTTCACATTTGGAACACAGTTCCCAGTTATTATCAGTTTTATTGCCCAGTTTTCAAAGCAGGGAAATTTCTCTTTCGCTAATGTTTATGTACGAGACATTTCCTATGTGGAGACCTATCGTTTTTAGAGAAATCTTCCAAAAGCCCCTCCCCCGAATACTCCAGTAATTCATACCTTCAAAGACCAGACGTGATTACATACAGTGTGATATTGTATCCGTAATTACTTCTTTCGTTTAGGTACCAAGTTAATTGAGTGTGAACTTGAGGTAGGGCGTAATTATTGCGTTATTCTGCTATAAGTATAGGTACGTTGAGGTTTACACTTACATACGCATCAGGTAGATAGTTTGAATGATACCCAATAAGGACACGAAGTACGTTAGAACAGTCCTTATATTATCAAAACCTTTGCTTTTTTAAGTCCATTTAATACAAGTCTCAAGTGTCAAGTCCTTTTAAAGCATGTGTTTTAAAGCTTGAATCATTTCAAGGCTTCAAACTAAATGCAATCCAGCAAATTAAAAACACTTGGTGCAGCTAATAATATATAACACGTTAAATTATCTCATTAAGAACACTTTTGTCACAAAAGAATCGAAAACAAATTGCAATTTAAAATAGTACATTTTTTCGGTAAAAGTAAGAGTAACTTTATATAATAATAATACAATAATATAAAACACGTTCAATTATCTCATAACGAATACCTTTGTCACAAAATAATCGAAAACAAATTGCAATTTAAAATATGTAGTACATTTTTTTTGGTAAAAGTAAGAGTAACTTCATATAATAATAATACAAGAGCATTCGGTAAGAGATGATCCGATAGGAAGTTTTTCCGGTTTCATACTGGGTGCCGCCTCACAGATGTCGTTTTATTTAGGAATACTTAATTCGTAAAAAACAACAACAATACCATTGTTTTCGGCTTTATCTTAAAAATAACATTCCATCAAATAAATTGTTTATGTCCTTTTTTATTTTATCGTATTTACTAAGTTTTTGGCCACAAAAGTGAAACCAATATTCGAATTGTGTTCTTACTTGAAATAGTTGCTATTTATTTCCTAAGTTCGATTGTTTATTACGACGTTTGTCATTTTACCGTTTTGTAAAATTGTGATTTTACTCTGTTAAAGAGTTGGATATGTTCGGATTATCGTTATTTTCAGATACCTACTTGTAAAAGCCTCTAAAAATTGGTAACGATGCAGATTTCGATGTTTAGGCGCATGTTTACCTTGAAACTTTTTTTTCGTTAGTATATTTTTTAAAGAACTATAGTCTATACTTAGTCTAAGATACAACAAAATACCTTTATGTTGCAATAAAACTTTAATTTTTGTATTAGAGATGACAAATATTTAAACTAATTATCAGAAGCCCTATTTATTACCACCTAAAATAGTTGAAACGACCACAGTGCGCCTGGTCCCTCATCAAATTAAATTATCCACCTGAGGCCAAAGTGTAAGTGGAAAATTAATTAGGAAGCAATGTCTGCTCAAAATGAATTTACCGTCGAAACAATTTACAGTTTTAGGATTTTTAAAATGCAAATGAAATATCTGTTGTCTGTCTCTGTGAAGATCACTGCAACTTCTACATTTGGAGAAAAAACAAATATTCACTTTCATTCATTCCACCCACGGCTTCCAGACTTACGGCATAATTTTCGTTTTCAAAATGCCATATTCATTCAAACATTTAAAACTTCAATTTTATTTAGATTATTTCCTATTTAAGTCTCATGGTACTTATGTAGTAGTTGCTTAAAAAAAGCTCGACATAAGTCGAACCAAAAAATTCTAGTAACAATACGCATGGTATCAAGAAGAAAAATCCATACTGATCCTGTATCTATGAAAATCGCATTGTAAGGATTATCTATTGCATTTTTATTGGAAAATATACAAGCTGATTCAAATTAGGTGTCGGAGACAATCGGAAAACTCAGATTATTTAAAATACTAAAATTTTAGATTTTGTAAGTAAAATGCATATGGTGAATCCAACTCTGTGTCATTTATCTAGAGTTGTTATCAAGAGGGGGGGGGCATTTATGGGGTATACATAGAGAAAGCAATTATCGCTAATTACACTGAGGTTCGCCAAAAAGTCAATCTCTATCAACAATATATTTGATCTCGCCTACCAAGCACGTTTTTTCTATTTCGTACACATTATGAGTAAGTCAACAAAAGCGAAGAAAAACTTAATGTTTCAAAATGTAGTTTCTCAATTGGTTAATCATTACATGAGTTATCACGGAAGTACTTAGCTTAGTTTACAAGAGCCTATAGATCTCATATCACAGCTTGATGCCAAAGAACAGTTTTCTAGTGAAAAAAGCTGATAAAACTGTACAATTCTCCAAACTGGTTAGTTTGATGTGACATTCGTTCAAATTTCGATAGCACTGAAAAAAATATATTCAAAATGTTTCCATAGCTTTCCATCCATAATACTGCTTGTTTTTATACATCTATCAATCTGAATGTGTGTTAATTGCTGCTTTTGACTGTTGTTTTCCATATGAGGTCTGCGGGGCTCTTATGTATAACATTACGCCTAGAGTATTACAAGGAAAGTAAACGGGGTCCCAAATATTTCGTGCGAAGCAAATGTCAAAATATGTATTAGCTTTATAATGCCGATATATATAACGTCATCGAAGAAAAGAAGGTCGACAGAACTCCATTGAGAAGTAAACTACTAGCGTTTAAGAAAATTGATACTGAATTCTATATAAATTCACCCTGTTTCTCCTGTAAGGCCGGAGTCAAACGATTTTACGAAAACCCTAAAAAAGACGTAAGGCGTCTAAAGAGAACATAAAAATTATTAAACATTAAATTATGTTAAAATTTTATAACGTGAATAAAATAAATTATTAACTTCTGGATGTATCGGACGATGCATTCACTGGTTTTGTTAGCCGAAGTATTCTATAAAAAACCATTTCTCAAATGCCTCATAATAATTGAACCGATTGAATTATTTTCTTGGAAAAAACATACATTATCTCTAAGATATCAATATTATTTCATCTTCCAACTCCATTTGATAAGTTAATACTATTACACACACGAGATGAAAACCAAATTTACAGGTGATGTGGTAGGTATAAATAGCTTAATCTTCGCTTAAGAACTTTAATCTGCGAAAAATGACGGCTTGAAGTTAAACATCATTACAGTGAAAACCATCGACGGTGCATACCGATTAGGACTTTAAATCCGGCTTAACTCTTAATCCCCATTTAAGTCCGCCGGTGCATACATTAATGATTGTTAGTGCTTGCCTCTATCCCATTCGAAATGGTATTAATCGTTACATATGAGTCCTACCTTCAGTTGCGGCCACTTTCACTCGCGCAAAACAATAACTTTGCTTACATTTGTTTATTACAAGCGGAGCGCGCGTGCTAAATTTTGTCAAAGATTTCGTGAAAGATCGATTTGGAGTCTCCCCAAGAAAAGAAATATTTTCTAAAAATGTTCTCGTATAAATATAACTGGTGAAATCATCAAATTTAATCAAAGCAATTGTGCAGTACTAATAACATAATCAATTCATGTAAAATAAAAACCGTTAATTCACATAGAAAGCAACAGCCACTTTACTAAACTCGAGTCGACATAAAATCTGCTAGAACTTTTCTTTTTGTTTTTTAATGTTTGGATTTTTTGCAAATTGGGGCACTTACACATTCTTTCCACATTTTTTTATTATTAATTATTATTTTATTTCCACGTTCTCTGTTTTCATCCATATGAATACCCTAATGCTGATAGGTTGTAACCCAATTTAATATTTTTTTACAGGCGACAAAAAACCGCGTCTGTAATGTTTTTTCGTTTATCTGTTGCTTATTTTTGTATTTTTATTATTTCTTATTTGTTAGAAGCATATAGTAATGTAAGGTTTGCCACAAAACTATAATTAAAAATGTTTTTGGGAGTTAGTATCTATCATTACCTACAGTTTATCAAGTTCGTTTTCACTAAAGTTTGTTCAAACTAAAATTACTATTTTTGACCTAGTTTAATGAAACACTACAATTTTCACTAAAATAATTTTTTTCGAATTATTTTGGGGTGCTCTAAATCAAGTTCAAAATTATAAATAGGTAATATTTATCATATAAAATGACTAGAATAAGGGCGACAAAATTAGAACAACAAATTGCAGGCAATAAAGTTTTGTTATTAATTACTTTTGGTCGCCGACGCGGAATTGAAGCAATCGATTTTTGAACGAAATTCTGTGAAAAATTGGTCCAAATTTCACTAATTTTATTCATCAAAGCTTGTTTATTTGGAAGCAGTTGCGTTCGAATGCGACGTTCCACTTCCTCCCAAAGATCCAAGGGTTTAGATCTGGGGATTGTGCAGGCCACTCCAAAACTCGAACATTATTGTCTACAAACCACTGTTGAACAATTTGTTGAATTGAAGACGTTTGAAAGAAGAAGTTTTGTATTATAGCGCTGTTGGAAAATAAAACGCAGTGGCATTTCCAGTATTTAGCATCTTCCTTCAATTAATGTATTTTCAACACCTTGCTACAGATCAAGTACCTTTTTAAATTCAAATTCTTATTAGCATGACTAATTTACCATAGGCTAAGTTCAAAAAACTATAAAACACACAATTAATCGTAAGAATCTTTTCGCTAGCCCTTCGTGAAAGATGTCTTACTAACTACGTTTTGTTAGAAATTCCTAGCCAACAAAGACATAGAAATAAAAATATGAACACGTGAAAGTCGGAATTTTATCTCGGAAACAGTCGACCAGTGGAATAGACCCTTTCGATACATGTTTCTCACCTTCAAAGGGATTATTTTATTATTTCCGAAACTTGAACTGCGTAGAACCAATATAAAAATT